AAAAGCTTGAGCTGTGAAAAAAACTCATCAAGTCACACTGTTTGTGTGATTAAAACAACAAGAAGGAATATTAAAGGGGTCATATGATGCTTTTTTAAAGATCATTATTTGGTGTATTTGGTGTAACAGAATATGTTGACATGCTTTAATGTTCAAAAAACACATTATTTTTCAAATACTGTACATTATTGTAGGTCCTCTATGCCCCGCCTCTCTCAAACGCTTCGTTTTCTACAAAGCCCCCTCCTTCAGAGTCTTAACTTTGATAAAGAATATCTCTTTGGTTTTGAGACATTCATTCATTCATTCATTCAATCAGCTTGTAACACTCCAAAGAGAAAGGAAAACTTGAAATCGCATCATATGACCCCTTTAATACTTTATAAAAAAAATGGCAGGCCAAAGGCATGTATTAGGGAAAGAAAATGGAAAATATGTTTTATTTATATGTGTGTATGCTAATTCATCTAGATCCTGTTTGCTTCTAAATGGTGAAGTGAGAGTGTGTTTTGTGGAGAATAATAAATACTGTGTGTTGTGTAGAATAATGATGACACACCGTGCCTGTGTGTGTGTTTTGGTTTTACCTGTGCTTTCAAAGCTTTTCCACACTCTCCAGCCTCAGGTGTCCACCCCTGTAGTTAAAATTAACTAATTAACAAGAGCAATGTGACAAATCCCAATTATGATCCAAAATCACGGCTAAACCCTGAGATACAATGAATCAGAGCCAATGTCCTAATGTGCAAATTTCAATCAAGAATGAAGCATCAAATATTCAGGCAGCGTTAACTGTACATAAACAACTTTCTTATGCACTGCACAGCCAGGACAAACGAAAACACTCATCACCAAACAAGGCTCAATTTAAGTAAGGACTCGGACTAAAAAAAAAATAATAATAAATCCCGAGACCTCTGTAGGCCTGAAACAAAATATTGTCCGTTATATTATCTTTATTGAATTTCACTGAAAATGTATGTCTCAATTTATAGAACAATGTCAAAGAGCATGTCCAAATCAGCATAATTACACTTTCATTTTTAATAAACTTGTTAGTGGGGCTTCATTTGATTTATGATTCTTTTTCTTTCATTTTTGGTAAACTATCCTTTTAAATAGGATGTCAGCACTTCCAAATCTTTGGAATTAAAAATAAAATAAAATAAAAAGTAATAATAATAATAAAAACAAACAAACAAACAACATTCTCTTCCATAATTATATCTGTATATAGATTTTTTTATATACATATTTTGTCTGTCTGTGTGTGTGTGTGTGTGTGTGTGTGTGTGTGTGTGTGTGTGTGTGTGTGAAAAAATATATCTATAGT